CGTTAGGGAATCACTACTATTCCCTCCTTCCTTCAGCTCCCAGTTGTCCCTTTTAGGGAATCACTACTATTCCCTCCTTCCTTCAGCTCCCAGTTGTACCTGTTAGGGAATCACTACTATTCCCTCCGTCCTTCAGCTCCCAGTTGCCTCTGCTCTGCTCGCTATGACTTTATCTCTTCTGTGAAACTAGACGTGCCAATAATTTGGAATTGTAGAGAGGTTTATTTCTCATTCCTTCAGAAATCCCCAAAGTTTATAAGATTCCCAAGTGAATCTAAACATTTACAAATTTAAAAAGACTTGCTTTTTCAGAAAATTTAATAAACAGCGAAGTCGATCAATTTGAAAGTTCAATCAACAGCAATCATCCGGTTCTCCAAATAACAAAAAATAGGGTCATCTATTTTTGTCATATTTTAAAGTTAATATGTTTTCTCTTACCTGTATCTCTTTTTAAGAAGGGAAAGTCAAGGCTGGAAAGGTGGACAAGTTTCTGAAGAACATGAGGATAAACATCTCAGAAAAAGAACTTAAAGATCTAACACAAAGCCTGCCTGTTAGTGGTGAGCACCTACCTACCGATCAGCATCAGAAGGGCGAGGCTGTAAAGGGGCAGACTCTGGAGCCGCTGCCTGACTTGCATCCTGGCTCTTCTATGTGATGCTCATATTATCTTGATCTTCTCTCTGGGCCTCACTTTCTTCATCTGTAAAAGGGCATATTAAGCCTAATTATAAAGTTCTGTGAGGATCAGACTGTGCTAGTTTTGTTGTTGCTATTAGTAGTATCATGTTATAACCTTGCATGAATGTGCATACTAATCTCTTCAGAATCCTGACATCGAGTAATTTGAAAAAACTTTGAAAAAGAACTCAAAACTTAGGCTGGGATGATAGCTCATTAGGTAAAGTTCCCGCCACACAAGCATGAGGACTTAAGTTTGTCTCCAAAACCCACATTTTAAAAGCTGAATATTGGAGCTGGAGAAATGGCTCTGCTCATCCAGAGGATCTGGGTTTGATTCCCAATGCTCACAATTGGTTCCCAACCATCAGTAATTCCAGTTCCAATGACTCCAATGCTCTCTTCTCACCTCCACAGGCACCATGCATGCAATGGTGCACAAATATACATGAGGACAAACTCCTGTACACATTTTTTAGTTAAAAAGTTGAATATTGTAGCATGTCCTCACTTTTGATTCCAGCACTGGTGAGGTAGAGACTGGCTCATACCTTGGGCTCCCAGGTCAGCCAGCCAAGAATAACCTGTGAGGTTTAGGCCAGAGAAAGGTCTTGTTTCAAAAATCAGGGTAGGCAGTATCTGAGAAATAGCAACCATGATCTCTTTGATCTACACACACATATACATACATACAGACATCCATACATACATACATACACGCATATAGACACTAGACACAGACACATGGACATATACAGACACATAGACATGTACACACACAGACACTAGATACACATAGACACATATACACGTGCATAGACAAACACTAGATACACACACACACATAAACACATACACAGAGACAATATACATATAGACAGACACAGACACATGCATACACACACACGCACACACACACACACACACACACACACTCACCAAAGACCAAATCCTTATTAGTATTTACATCAAGAGAACAACTTCTTTTGCTGTGAATTCTCCATCTTGCTGAGGTGTCACTATGGATAAGGAAGGGCCAAGATGAGGCAAGGAAGGACGATATGAAGGAACATATACTGTGATGCAAGACAATTTAAAGATAAATTGAAGGAGGGGAGAAACAAAGATCACCTTGGAGGTGTAACGATCAAACTTCTCTCCAAATGGGTTCAAATTTGCAGAGATTGTTTCCTCCCGTCAATTTAAAACAGAAACAAAGTTTCAAAGAGGCATGGTACACCATCTACTTAGTTCCTTGTCAAAGACCGAAACACCAGTAAATCTGCTCAGCATGTTGTAGCTAGATCCCATTTTTCCAAGATCTGGCACAGTTCAGTTCATCTACATCTAGTCATACAAACATTCATGCATGTACACACGTATTGGTTTGTTTTTACCAGGTTTAAAGAGGCAGTACAACAAAACATTACAGAGACAGATTTACCTAACTAATTAAAATCTCAGTTGTCCTAGATCATCTCTATTTATTTTTATCTCTATTTTTGAGAATTTCGTGCACAAGTCCTGTTGTATAGACATAGTTTGTATTTTAAATTTTGTGTTTTAATACCAGGTAAATGATAGGCAAGTAGTCATTAAAAACAAACCTCTAAATATCAGATATAGAAAGGTTGTGTCACTCATATGACATTAATAACTTCTATGTGTAATTCAAAGCATTGGTGAGGTCTATTCCCTTAAGTTATAACATTGCATAGATTATGGATATGAACAAACTCCATAGGAATTAATAGCTTCCAAATTTAAAGTGTTGAAATGTAGCATAAATTTCTTTTGAAATTTTGTTCCTGTAGTCCAGCAAAGTAATGGGATTTCATCCACAATTAAAATGCTAAAAACAGAATGCATTTCCTTGTGTTGCTAGATATTTAAGATATTTAAATTTTAATATCTTAAAGCTAAATTGTCAATATAGCTTCATTGTGGGATTAAAACCTTTTTGTTCCACACTAATGAAGAAGAAAAATTTAATAATAATTGCTATTAATTCTTGTTCATTTCTAATCTTTATTCCTGTTGTCATCTTGCAGCTGATGGGAAAGTTGATATTAAAAATATAATGAACGAAGCAAAAGTTTTCACAGGTTAGTGATTAATTCCTACCAAACCAAGCCTTCAAACTGTTATAATAATTAGTTTTTTTCTGTTGTTTTTCCACACTTCTCTGGAATTAGAAAAAAAACTTCTAATAGAAGTTTTCCAATAGAAAAGACTGCTTAAAGTGTATAAATTTGTCAAAGTATGGCAAAAAACAGTACAAATAGGATACCTATAGGAATATGCCTTAGTAAGAAATCTGCATTCTATGGAAGCTGTCCTCCTAATTTCTCTCTGAAATCCAGAGGCTCAGTACATGGTGCCCTGGATTTTTTTAGGAGTTCATTAACACTTGACAATTACAACATTAACAGAAGCATAGATTGCTTTCTTAGAAAATTATTTATGTTAGCTACTCTAAGGGTTGATTTTATAGTAATAAGCTGAATTTAATTTTCCTCGAGTTTAAAAAGAGCCTGTGTATAGGACTAGTAAAGACATTAAGACATTCGGCATTCCAGTTTCCTCCAGCCCACAGCAGTGTGAAAGACGGTGTTCTGCTTTTGTTATTCGATCTAAAATCTGAGGTTGTTAATATGTCCACCTCTCACTATTCCTAACTTTTTAGGTGAAAAGATTGATGTCAGTAACCTGGAAAATAGGCTGGGAAACTTGGGGATTGAGTTTAATGATTCGGAGTATATGAAGTTACTGAAAACCCTACCAGTGGACGGTAAGCCTTAAAAAGCCACGGGCATTTCCAGACTGTGGTTTAATAAACTTGAGAGGGAAATCGAAAACTTTCAGTACTTGAAAGGCTTGGGAAGTTTAAAGGCTCTCACTCCAGATTGAAGATTATATTACAAAATAAATGGCTTGTGAAAATGATGAGAGGCAGAGACTGGGGTGATGGCCTATGCTGACGAAAAGGCCTATGCTTCGCTGCGGTCTGTGACGGCAAAGGAGCATTGATGGTATTTGCATACGGCTGTATAGGGTTTGTGTGTGCTGAGACTGATACAAGTCTGGGAATAACAAAACAAATATCGTAAGATGAAAAGAATTGTGAGAATTCTTCACACTGTATCTCCCAGTTTCTATAACTCTGAAAATGCATCAAAGTAAAAGGCTAAAATACAGAAATCCTGACAACATCCAGATACGTGGTTTGAGGGCCTTGTCCTCTGTGAGCCCCGGCCATGTTGATAGAATGGTTTTGCTCTGATCAAAGCCCAGTCCACAGCATCCATTGGTCTCCTAAATCGTTGTGTGTAAATCACGTAACACATTAAGTGAACTGTATCGGTTCTCGATTTTTTTTCTCCCACCAGTTTTATATTTTACATTTTCTAAGGGTTAAAGGGACTGTAGCTCTGTGGTAGAGTGCTTGCCTTGCTTGTATGAGGCCATAGGTTTGGTTACCAGCACTGCAAAAAAAAAATCGTATATAGAACCTGGAAAATATTTTCATATAATTTGAAGTGTACACTGTCTACCCACAACCATTTTCCGCCTCGATCCTTATCTGCTGTTACCTCGCTTTGTCTTCTCCTTGGTCCTTGTAGCTTATTAGTGTTGCTGCTTATGTTTTATTTTCCTCCAACAAAGGAAAGACTCTTAAACTTAGTGTTTTTGTCTTTTCAATCTTAACTTCTGGATACCTTCCTTTTTATTCTGAGGACTCCTTCGGCGCCCTGTTCTTGAGCGTGAATGATTGGGTCTCTTTCCATGCTTGGTTGTTTTAGCACTCTCTTCTCTCATCTGTCTATCCCCACACAGATAATGGGACAGTGCACTGGGCTAGAGTCCTGAAGGAGTTGAAATCTCTCAGAGGTGAGTTAAAGCTCATACTACTGTGTCTGTCTGGAATCTTTAGGCTTCACAAAGTAGTCTTGTTGTATCCTATTTGAAGGAAACATTACATTTGGATTCGTACTAATTTTATTACCAAAATAAAAAGCTTTGTTATTTAAATATATACCATAAAATTGTAATGGAAAGATATTATCATTTTGCCAACTTTATGGTTGTTGTTCATTAATAGACAAAACCAGCCTGGCAGTCTGGCAATGGGAGAAGTGCTTTTGCTCTTTACTAGAAGTGTTGGAAGGGATATAGTGTGAGCTGACTCCGGGTCCAGGACCATTAAGCCAAATAGTGTTCTGAAGAACTCCTTTGTTCTAATAGGTTTGTCACGGGGTAGAGTTGTAAAAACAGGTTGTACTTACCTTATTGCTCTTGACCTTCTCTGTTTTCCTGGAAAAGTCAAGTGGAGATTACAGGGGGTTTTGTAATGAACACTAATAACAATACAAAAATGCAAAATCTAGGGTTTTTTTATATTTTTCTTAGTTACACATAGTCTGTAAAAACACGGATGTGATTTTCATATTTTACATCTTTTGTTTACTTTCTCATTCCTTTGTGTCTTTCTCTCACTTTCTCTTTTTGCTTTCTTAAGGAGGAACACTTGATGTCAAAAGCCTGAAGTCTTTCCTGGATATCATGGGTATCGAGCTTGCCAACAAGGAGGTGGAAGAGCTGAGGGACAGCCTGCCGGTTGATGGTATGCCTGTTAGAGGGCACTATGTGTCCCTAAAGGAAGCTCTGTTTTAATTGTACAGCTAAGAATTTTAGAAACTAGATTTAATTGGTATTAAGATAAATATTCAAATTATTAGGAAACCCTATCATTACAAATAACATTTTAGGTACCAACTGTAAAACTTCTAACTACTTCAATGAGAAAATTAAATAAGGTAATTTTGGGGAAAAATAAACATGTTTACCCATAGTTTCAGATTTTATTTTTGTGTGTTTTTAAACTTAGAAAACAAACCAAAAGAAGTCTATTAAAATCATTGAGTTTTAGAGATGCTATTTTTGGTTCATGGGCTTTTGTGCCATATTAAAAATCAAAATTTCAAGTGATTTCCCTAGTTAGGAATAAGCCAATAGAAATAGAAATAGGCAATATTCCTTTTAAAGCAACAAAACATTACATAAAATATCTAGAAATAAATTTGACATTTTAAACCTTTTCTTTGTCACCTAGTGATTTTACCCACTCTCGAGGATTTTTTTTTTCTTTCTCAAAAGTCTAAGAAGTCCAGGACAGATATTAGGTCCTCCCTTCTCATATCTGGCTTCATGAAGGCCATAGGGTTACTTCAAACAGCAGAAGTTTTTAAAATATTGAAACAAACAGAAAACACTCCTTATCCATTGATAACAACATTGAATATTCTACAATCAAGAGACAGAAAATATGAATAAAGAAATGAAACTCAACCACTTGACTCAATTCAGTTTAAGGATATAGAGAGACCAAAAGTGAAAGACTAAAGGGTTGGGCAGGATTTCATGTAGAGGGAAGCCAAGAGAGCAAAGGTAATCATATCAGAAAATAGGCATTAAAAAAATAGATAAAATAAAACTTTTGAAAAATGAACATAATAACCCAAAATTTATAAAATGCATCAAAAACAGTTCTCTAGAGGAAACTTAGGATAAAGGATTGACATCAACAGAGTTCTCAAACAAACAACCTAATGGTAAACCTCAGGGGACTGGGAAAGGAAAAACAAGCCAGAACCAAATGCGGCAGAAGAGAAGAAACAGTACAAGTTGAAGTAGAAATAAACAAAAGACTAGGAAAGCAAGATAAAACGTCAACCAAAGTAATGCTTGTTTTCTTTAAGCATAAATGAAATCAACAAACCTTTAGCTAAAGTGAGGGGAAAAAAGTGAGAATGCTCACAGGAAACCAGAAATTAAAGCAAAGACATTACAGCTGAGGTCACAGATATACAAAGACTTCAGAGAAGCTGCATGGACAATGCAGCAGCCAATTGGATAGCCTAGGAGAAAGGCTGAGTTTCTAGACAACCTGCCAATCCTGAGTCAACAAGACAGAGAAAATCTGAGCAGACTGAGAAGAGTAAGGAGATCAGATGTATTAGTCTATTTGCCATTGCTACCTCAAAATACTTAAGGGTGGTTAATGTATAATGAAGATTTCTTGAGCTCTCAGGTTGCATGTGAGACTTTAAAGATTATCTACCAATCCCAGATAGGGACCCAACAATAAACCAAAGTAATTTCAATTTACAGGTAGGGAGAATTAATTTTATTATTGTGCCCATATTACATAAAGCAATCTACATTCAATGTAATAAGTTTCAGTTTTACACAGGGTTATAAAAGCAATCCTATAATTCCTCTGGAACAGCAAAGACCTTGAAGACCAAGGCCGTCTTTATTAAGGCACCCCACTGCCCACTTCAAGGTGTCCTGGAAATTTATGGGTAAGTTTCTCCCTTTGCATGTGACTTCTGAACTTATACTAATCGCATGTCTCCTCTGACCCTTTTATTTGTAGCTAATGGGAAAGTTGACCTAATTAAGGTGATGGATGGAGCAAAAACCTTTACAGGTAAGATAGTTGATGTAAATATAGAATCCTGATCTTTTTACAGTAATATATTTTTAACTTTTTGTAGTATTTTAATTTATGCACATGTGACAGTGTGAGTATATGTCACATGTGTGCAGGTGCCCACAGAGCCCAGAAGAGGGTGTTGGATTCCCTGGAGCTGAAGTTACAGGCAGTTATAAGCCAAATTCAGGTCTTTTAGAAAAACAGCAAGTGCTTTTAAACACTGAACTATATCTCCAGCTCCTGTATATGTTTTTTCATGCCTTTATTGCTACGTTAATTCTGTGACCTGTGACACCTATTTGTTCAATTTTTCTTCTATCCAATAGCCAGAAATTACAGTGTTTTCTAGTGTTGTTTTTAATTGTTTGTTTGTTTTTGTTTTCTAGACAGGGTTTTGTTTTGTTTTTTCACAAAAAACAGCCCTGCCTGTCCTGGAACTGCTTTGTAAACCAGGCTGGCCTCGAACTCACAGAGATCTGCCTGCCTCTACCTCCCTAGTGCTGGGATTAAAAGCATATGCCACCAAGCCCAGCTTTAGTGTGTAATACATCTTGTTTTCCTTACTGTAATGCAGCCAAATTCAACAATAAAACGAAATGAAACTTTTTTTAAAAAAGACTCCAGTACACATTGGTAAGCTTGGGATAAGCCATTTGCAGCCTTCTGGCTGAACGAAGAGATACACAACACCTGGCCATCATTCCCATGGCGAGTTCCATTGTTAGTACATGTTCTTCAAGAACCATGCACCAAGATTGGATTAAATACGACAAAGGCATTATGAAGAGAAATATTTATGGAAGGAGGAAATAGAGAGGCCTCAAGGCTAGAAGCTTCAAGTCTGGTTCCAAGTGAAGAAGAGAGAGAAGGTTGGGTAGAAGAAGCATCCTATGAGAATTCTTAGATTGCTCTCTGCCCATATTGCTTTGTACTTACCCAGCTGATATTACTTGATGTCAGAAGCTAAGCAGGGTCAGCCTTGGTTAGTGCTTGGATGGGAGAATTCTTAACTGACAGCTATCCACCCAGTTCTTAGAAGGGCTGGCAAGGATTTCTAGATGTCCTCCAGCAAAGTCTGCAACTGCTCATAGAAACAGGGTTTCCTTTGTATCTTTTTGCCCTCAGTCATTGATCTCAAGAAGCCAAAGGGAGATGAAACCAATACAGGGGAACTTCAAAGCAGTAGCTTTGGCAGTTTATGTTCTCAGTATTCCTACTGGCATACTCTCATGGCCAGCATTGACAGTAACCTCTCATCTCTTGATAGTCTCTACAATAATCAGGTTCCTTTGAATGGCGTTGTTTTTTGATATTCAGTGGTCATGGTTTTCCCCACCCTGTACTTAGATTGTGTGGTTTAATTATTTACAATTGTGCTAAATTCCATGTGTGTCACTCTGTTAATCTTTACTATTAAGGAGAAAAAATTGGTATTGATGATGTAAAAACTGTTCTGAAAAACATGGGGCTAGAGTACAAAGATGAAGAATTCTCCAAACTGATGGAAAATCTGCAGTTTGACGGTAAGCATCTCAACATCTGGTGTAATGAAAGGGCTTTAGGATTTCTCTGTGACAAAGATATTCTCATTTCATAACACTACATTAAGTAGAAATCAAAAGGTTAGATTGTCCCTGAACCCTGCCATGAATCCTCTCTACACCCCCAGTTTAGATAAGATATTCCTTTTCATTACGCTGGCTATGCCAAAGAGTAAAGCAGGGTTTGTGGAAAGAGAAAGGGTTACCTTAGGAGCGAGCAAGCACAGGACTGCGGAAGAATAAAAGAAGTGTGTATCTGTGTGTTATATAGAGCCTGATGTACTAAATTTCCCCACTTTTCTCTCGCATTTTTGTTTATTTAATTTCTTGTGTGTGTGCATGTGTGTGAGTGTACTCTTGCCACGGTACATGTATGGAGGTCAGAGGACAATGTGTAGCAGTAGGTTCTCTCTTTCTACCATACGGGTCCAGGGGATTGAACTTGAGTCCTAAGGCTTGACAGCAAGCATCTTTACCCACTGAGTCATCTCCCTGGCTCTCACATTTTTTTATAAGAAAAAATATATACTGAAGATCCTAACAGTCAATTTTCCTGAGCAAATGCTCATGATTATCCACATTTCTGTGACTTGAATCCTGTATTTCTTACAGATAATGGAAAGATCTTTCAAAACAAGTTACTGGAGAAAGTGAAGTCTCTGAAAGGTGAGTGACACGATGCTCGTGTCTACAGTTTTGAGAACATCCTTGCGTGCCGCCGAAGCTCAGATATATGTCTATATAAATTGGTGCTCCGTTTATGTGACAGCCTCTGCTGCGGCTGCCGAGCCTCCCTCTATCTTCGACCTAAGGGGAAAGCTCCCCTCTTTCTCAAGATTTTGTTTCCTCTCTTGAACAAAAGAAATAGACTAGAATTTTACATTTTAGAGAAAGGGGGTAACTGGGAGACATTATCAGTCATGCAAGGGCTTTAATCAGGAGGAAATAAAAATTAGACTTGGAGTTCAGCCATCTTAAATCAACCCCAGATATTGTTCAGACGCAACTCATAGTTACCTGCAGAACCAGAATTTCCTTAGTATTTGTTTTTGTTTAAAATGAAATTCTACATATTTGTCATGAACAACATGATACTTTAAAGTGTAAATGACTAAATTTACTGATTGTAAATAACGTATTACCTCATCTGGTATCGTTTTTGTGATAGAAACAGTTAACAGCGCTGGTCCTGGTTTATTTCTGCTGCTGTGCTAAAATCCCCTCACTGAAAGCAGCCTTGGGGAGGGACGTGCTTATCCGGCTTACACCCCCAAGCCTCACCCCATTACAGGATTTTACACTTTCGCTGTTGAAACTTTAGCAATATTTCTAAGTAGAATCTGACAGTTTAAAATAATGTTAATATACGTAAAATAGGATTTCCTCATATTTTAGACATTACTAATACGAGCAGATAACTGAAGAGAGCCTGTCACCAGGCCCTGGAGAGTACAGAACCCTTCTGTAAGATACCTGATATGGAATATTTCTGAGAGCTGACAATTTGAGTGTTTGCAGGAGGGAACATAGCTCTGAAAGCTCTAAGAAGCTGCCCTGGGAGCTTTGGGCTTTTCTTCACGGGCCTCTCTCTCTTCAGATGGGCAGGTCAGCACCAGCAATCTGAAACCTCTGCTGGAAAAGCTAGGGATCCTGCTCAAGGACAACGAATACAAGGATCTGGTACAAAACCTCCCTGCCGGTGGTGAGTGGGGTCTTCAAGTGTCCTAGTTTGTTGGTTTTTTTGGTTTGTATTTTTTTAAAGAGCATCTTTAATAATAAAAGTCCTTGGATAAGGGGCTTTAGGGATGGCCATCTAATATGATGTAACCAGAAAGCTATACATATGGGCAAAGCACATAAGCAACCGGTTACCAAAGTCAGTGCTAAAAGCTTGTGTTTAAAAGCTTGCCTTTTGTATTTTCCACCCATGTTATAATCAGTAATAGACATTCTTCTACACTTTGAATAGCAAAAAACAAGCTCTTGAGATAAGGGTACTTCTGAATTTCTTCCCACCACTAACACGCTTGAGTTTGAGATCTTAGAACTGTGAATTAAATTTATATTATAGAAACAGAATTTTGTCCTTTTAAGGTTTTCTTTATGAGACTCATGAAAGCAGTGAGATTGGATAAAATAATAACAGAAAATGTTGCTCGCATATTTCTTTTCTTTTAAAAACTTTATTATTTTATGTGTATGAATATTTTACCTCTGTGTACATCTATACATCACATGCATGCAGTGCCAGTAGAGGCCAGAAAGGACACTGGATCTCCTGGAATAGGAGTAACAGACAACTGGGTGGTGAGAATTGAACATGGGTCCTCTGGAAGAGCAACAAGGGTTCTGAACCACTGAATCATTCCTCCAACCCCCACTAGTACATTTCTTAAATAAACACATAAAGCACGTAGGTTAAGGCCTTTGCAACAACAAATGATGATTTATCTTCTCTGTTCTCACACTTTATTCCAGTTCTCAGGAAGGTCTCTCTAGATACACTGATGAAAAAGCTGAAGGCTTTCACAGGTGAGTAAGAACGTGCTGCGATTCTCATAGCGTTAATGCTTACATTAAAGGTAACTGGAATAATAGAAATTATTTAGGGACTCTAATCAGTAGCACCTCATTTTCCTGTAGCGTTTCTAGAATAATATAAAATTAAAATGTTTTGTAATGAAATATAGACATATAAAGCCCCTCATGCCAACTTAAGATGCCGAGATGTGTTATACTGTCAATTTGAAATAATGTACCTCATTTCACAAATACTTAAAACTATCTAAAACCCTATAGAACATGGGAGAGTAATGCTTAGGACAGTTAAAAACCATGTTTTACTGAAAGCATTGAATAATTCTTGCTACACAAATATTTCTGAAGAGTAACTCATATAAGAATCAGTGTTTTGGTAATTCACTGATCAGATTTTATTCTAGAAGTTCTCTTTCCTACTTTTAGTTTAAAAAAAAATCACTCCCTAGTTTATGTAAAGCCAGTAAATACCATGAAGCATGCCCATTGACTCTGCAGTCAGTTCTTCAACCTAACAACTAACTCCACACAGAGTAAGTTGTGCAACTCAAGATAAAATCCCACAGTATTCAAGTCCATGTGCCCATGACACTGTATTCAAAGCCCATGTGCCCATAACACTGTATTCAAGTCCATGTGCCCATGACACTGTATTCAAGTCCATGTGTCCTTGACACTGTACTCAAGTCATGTGCCCATGACACTGTATTCAAGTCCATGTACCCGTGACACTGTATTCAAAGCCCATGTGCCTGGGACACCGTGTTCAAAGCCCATGTGCCTGGGACTCCCTCTTTTGAAAGGAGACAAGGTTGATTCCAGTGACCTGAGGAACATCTTAAAGAACCTTGGGATTGAACTCACAGAGAAGGAACAAGAAAGGTTGCTGAAAACACTGCCAGCTGATGGTGAGCCGGGGAAAGATCCGTGGGACTTCCATGATCCTCTTTGTTTTGTGTGGATTTTGTTTGTTTTGTCTGTAAGTTTTTAAAACTTTCTAACTCTACTGTATATTTTCCTTTAAAAATAGGTAAGAAGAAAGAAAATATAAAGGAAGAAAGGGAGGGAGAGAAGGAGAGAGAATAGATGGCAAGAAGGAAGGGAGGGAGGGAGGGAGGGAGGGAGGAAGGAAGGAAAGAAGAAAGGAAGAAAGGAAGGAAGGGCATTGAATTGTTATAGAATAATTTTGCCCTGTTGTCTTTGATACTTTATATTGGAAGTGCCAGAAGCCTGGAGACAAAAGTTAATGTCAACCATAAAGCATGTCATCTTTAGGCCACTAATTTGGTTCCATCATAAAGTGAGAAAAGAAAAAGGAGAGAAAAGTATTGTATCTATGGCAAATGGGAAAGATCAGAAGCAACATCTAGCATGTGGAATCCCTCAGGCACTAAAGAAGAGAGGATTGTCACAGTGAGGAAAGTTTCTGTTCCACAACTTCACTGTCTCAAATTAAATAGTATACAAAGTAGAGACAATTCTCCTAATTTTGCTTAACTTTTTATGATTATTGTGTTCATGATAGATGTGGAGGCCATGCATGATCTTGTGAAGTCAGTTCTCTCCAATCACCTGTACATAGGTGTTCGTCATCAGACTTGTAGAGCAAATGCCTTTACCCTCCAGGCCATCTCAGCAGCTGGAGACAACTCTATTTAAAATGTTACTAAATGATTTGTATTGTGCACTTTTGTGCTATCACGTCAGTTTCTCACTAAATGAACCATGTTTCCCTTAGACTCTGGGAAGGTGTATTACAACAGACTGCTGAAAGGTGTGAAATCCGTCAATGGTAAGCAGCAACTCAATTAGACGACATTCGGGGGCGTTCACCGTTCATTACATCGTTAATTGTGAATCCTTGCTTGGCTATATACCTCCTTGTTTCTGATTCTTTGTATCTATCTATACTATAACCAAGAGCACATATTTTATATTAGAGCAGTGCTTCTCAACTCTTCTAATGCTGTGACCCTTTAATACAGTTCCTCATGTTGTGGTGACCCCAACCATAAAATTATTTCATTGCTACATCATAACTGTAATTTTGCTACTGTTACGAATCATGACATAAATATCTGATATGCAATATATCTGATATGTAACTCCTGTGAAAGGGTCATTTGACCCCCTCAAGGGGTCATGACCCATGAGCTGAGAACCACTCTCTTAGAGGGAGTTCTAGATCATCTTGCATGCATAGTTTTTGTCTTTGTAAAGTCCCCCTCATGTTGTAACTGAGATGAAATTTATTTTTAACTATTTTATTGATTTTCTGTGTGTACTTGAACAAGACTATTTGAGGTTTCAGCTTTGTTGAAAAAAATTTAAGGCATAAAACACATTCTTTTGTACTATTTTATTTTAATGTTATTTGTGGTCATTGTTTCACTTAGAATTTGATTGGGGAAACATAGTTACAAGGAGCAACATAGATCAATAGATTTATTCCAAGATTAAGCCATGGAATTGTGAGATATGATGAAGGAATCTGAGGGCCCTGAGTGCCCGAAATCACTTCACTTGTGACTTCCAAACATCATGCAGAATTTATCATGGATCTATACAGGAAAGGGATCTATAAGAACAGAATGATAGGAATATTATGTTCGGAAGCCAGATGTCCCACTGCCCTAGGAAGCCACCAGATAGCCTCATGCAAACACTCTATTGTGACTGCCACCTCATTTCTGCTTTGCAATTATTATGCAGGGTTCTCTTTGATAAATACTATCCCAAAACTATACAGAAAGGCTGTGGCTGTGACTCAGTGGTAGAGCTGCTTGCTTAGCATGTGTGAGGTCCTGGCTTTAAGTCAAAACACAGAAGAAAAAAAAATTTGAAAAAGTACAGGAAATGAAATTCTTGGAAATAGTTTCAACTTAGTAAGTTGGTGTAATTAAAACCAGTTAAAATCATTAAAGGTACTAGTAAGGGGTTTGCATGTGGAAGGATTTGGTAACGTTCATCTTTTTATTACCATATTATCTTTTTCCCAAGAGGGAAAGGTTCATGTAAATAGCCTGGACAATCTCCTCAAAAGACTGGGAATCAATCTCAGTGAAGAGGAATTCGCAAAGCTGTCAGAAGACCTACCAGTGGACGGTAAGTGTTACAGACTCCTCCAGGCATATTCTTAGCTCTGTGTCATATCTAGTGTATTTTAAAGTAGATGTAACTGATGGCAGATGATACATGTTAGAAAAATTGGAGAAGAAGCTATTAAAGTAAAACTTGGATCTTTATCACCATTGCATATCTGTTTCTGAAAGAATTACTAAAACGTCTTTAATCTCAGTACTCGGGAGGCTGAGGCAGGCAGATCTCTGTGAGTTCAAGGCCAGCCTGGTCTACAGAGTGAGTTCCAGGACAGTCAGAGCTATATATTGATACCCTGTACACACACACACACACACACACACACACACACACACACACACTATAATGATACGGAAAGCGGTAGAGAAGTCAACAGGCCCTTTCTTCCACCTGTTCCCGGTCAGTGAAATCCGAGGCTCTGATGATGGTGCAGGAAACCTTCCAGCTCCCTCTCCTCTATAGCACAGCTTGTCCTGTTTTCTTCTCCTTAAACTCTGCAGTTCCACATCTTTATGTTCCTAGGTTTTTCTCTTTATTCAATTTCTCTTCCATATAAAATCTCTTCTGTCTTTCTGAATTTCTCACCATCTGTACCAATACATTGAGTAGTTCAGGCATTAGTTCCTGCAGGAAGGAATCCTAGAACATAGTGGGCTAGGCTAGCGGCCCCTGACTCAACTGTTGGTTAATACATGGAGTTTAATTACTGGAAGCCTAGATCAAATCCAGTAACATTTTCAAAAACTGTTTATAATGACTCCCAGGCACGGTGGACCATACACTTGTCCTAACCCAATTACATAGGTGTAAGTGCATCGAGATCACGTTAATTTCTTGAGTTCCAGGAATTTAATAAGTAAATGGAAGATTCAGATGGTGGAGATTTTTATTGGATTTTTTACCACAGATGTATCTTATTTTTCATGTTTTTGTTATAAATTCCATTGTTTCTTTTCTCATAGCTCATGGGAAGACTGATCTGGGAAAGGTGATGGATAGACTGAAAGCTGCCACAGGTGAGCAGGCAATCCTGAATCCAAAATGCTCAGCATTTATAGTAACTCTGCTTTATCATCCTTCAATTGTCATGGGAATTGTGGCATTTGACCCATTTGTTGAATGCTTAAAACCAGTCAGTGGCAATTTGCTTGTTTTCTGGTGTGTTTTTTTTTTCATTTCAATATATTTACTTTTATTTTAGAGTAGCCAATCTCTATAGCAGCAAGATAATAGCTGCCACAAACTTTGGTAAATACTTCAGATAACTTATAATGTCTAATAATGAGACTGGCAGATAACACTTTAGTGTATGCAACTGCTTTCATGTATGCAGTGGAAGAAAGGGATGCGTGGTGTGGGTATTTCTGCATTCAGAGTTGCCTTGACGCTTAAAAATGTCATGTGCATGTACATACGTCTGAATGTGGGTGTGTGTTCCTGAGTTCAGGTACCCAAGGAAATTAGAGGCATCAGTTACCCCTGGAACTGAGAACCAAACTCTGGGCCTCTGTGAAAGCAAAAACTGCTGAGCCATCTTTCAAGCCCCGTGTGCCTTCTTTTATTAGCACTTGGGGATCAAATTTCTTCGACTGTGATAGTGGGTACCCTGTAGAAATGTTTGCCCCCTGCTTCATTCAGCACCTTCTCATGCAATGTAGTCATAGCTTATTTCCCCATTTAGAATTATTAGATGATGCGTTAGATTCATATGTAATGATTCATATTGATTTTTTAGGAGGAGAAGTGGATAACAAAAATGTGGAAACTGTTATATCAAAAATGGGAATAGAGCTTTCAGACAGCGAACTCTCGAAACTGATGGAAAATCTGCCTTTCGATGGTATTTCAAATCCTGATATGATTTTAGGGCATTTTTGGGCTTTTTAATACTTAAAATTTTTTCCCTAAGACTAAAGAAATTTAAATCTGTCTCTAAAAAAGTAAAATGTTAACTTATTCTTGAGGGAAATTCTCACCTATGAAATTCTTAACTTTTAATTTGGGAATAAGCATGCCCACCATGTTGAACTATGCTGTCCAGAGGAAGGAGTACCCGATGCTAGCCTTACTCACAGATACCTGCAGATGATTATGGAATTAAAGAAAGGAAAGAATTATGTTACCCTAGAGAGGGGTAAAAAAAGGAGAGGTGGAGCAAGCACACACATGTGCGTACGCATACACACATGCTTGTACACACAGATACAAGTACACACACACAATGCACACTCACACAATTGTACTTCTCCTAAATTTTCCAGTAGCCCCATCGTGTTCTAAACTCTCAAATTCTATTTTAATGGAGCACTGTTTAATGCAAGTATTAAGGTTTTAGTTTTGCTGAACTAATTGTAGTTAATTACCAGATTATTTCTCTGTTACCTGAAACTTGCCCCCCTCCTTTTTTTTGTAGATGATGGCAAGGTCTTTAAGAACCGGTTACTGGAAGTCGTGAAGTCTCTCAAAGGTGAGTGAGAAGTGCAATGAGAATACAAATAAGGTTGTGATCCTCGCATTGATATAGTCACCATGACAACGAGCGCTGAACGAGTTGACAAATGTCTCCTCTGTGTCTCTTCTTACAAGAGGAAGTTCCACACAGTAAGGGAAATACCACATTTTGAGTTTATGTAACAAAAATTATAGAAATGATTACCAGTGACTCAAAGGATTTGATCAGCAGCAAATACAAGTAGAATTGGGGTTTCAGCCATTAACATTCAACCCTGTGTATTATTCAGAGAAAAGAATGTTTTCTGTGCACAAACCAAAATCCCTGAGTATCTGTTGCCATTTTAAGCTTTCGTCTGTGTAGGTTCCTCGAGTCAAGACTCAAAGGGTTAGTTCTAATTAAATAATAGACTTTGAATGACTAGGTAGATAATGATCCCAAAATAGTATCCAAGCTCTGTGTGTAATGACATACTGCTCAAAAAATTCAGTGTGGTGTGTGTATCAGAAAATCTAAGAAGTCCTCTTAGTGCCATTTAATCGTCTCTGTGCCCTGTTCTTTAGGTGGTAGAGTCGATGCCAACAACCTGAACACAGTTCTGAACAATATGGGAGTCAAGCTTTCAAATCCGGAGCTTAGAGATCTGAGTCAAAGCATGCATGTTGGTGGTAAGCATCTGATCAGACATCAAATGTCGCTCTTCGTGCCGCTGCAATATACTTACATAGACTGTATAATTTGTAAAGAAGAGAACCTTATTTTCTCAGTTGGGGAGGCTGTGAAGTCCTAGATTAAGGCCCCTGCATCCACTGAGTGCTTCTTGCTGTATCATTACACGGTAGAGCCCTCATGGACTAACCTATTAAAATTCTACTTTCAAGGCTAAGGAGATGGCCCTATGCTAAAGCCCTTGCCATGCAGGCATGGGGCCCTGGGTTCAAATCCCCAGATCCTGTATAAAGGGGCATAGCACTATGACTGTAATCCAGCACTTCTGCATTGACATGGGAGACTCCCCACAGGCTCGAGAGTCAGGCAGCCTGGCATAGGCAGCAGTTATAACACAGATCCTGCTTCAAACAAGGTAGGTGAGGAACAACACCCAGGGCTGCCCACTGACCACCCCCTGTGCACCATAGTGTGCTTACGAGCGTGCACACTCATGTGCACATGCACACACACACATGCCACCACCACCAAGTTTTTTAATCTCACCTTTTAATAGTATTAAAATGGCATATGAATTCTATATGAGTTGTAAAGAGGATGTACATTCAAATAATGGTATCCCGGTTTAGTTCAAAGAACCTTGTGTGTATCTAAGTTTGTTTTTGTTTGTTTGTGTTACATATCCTTTTCAAAGAAGAGGGGAGAGCCAAGAAGAACCAAGTGGGAGACACCAGGCAATACAGCTGATTGTATTTTAGCACATGAGCAGCTGGTTTCCTATCTGAAAAAAATAAAGCATTATTCTTTGGTCTATGACATTTTTGCTCTCACAAGTATCATATATAAACAAATCTCATTCACCAAAAGCCAGAAGTTGCATCATTGAAATTTTTAATTTTTTTAAAGATTTATTTATTTACTTACTTATTATGTATACAGTGTTCTGGCATATGCACATACAAGCCAGAAGAGGGCACCAAATCTCATTATAGATGGATGTGAACCACCATATGTGGGAGCTGGGAATTGAACTCAGAACCTCTGGAAAAGCAGCCAGTGCTCCTAGCCATCTCTCCAGCTCCCGAAATTTTTAGCATTTTAAGACTTTTAATATTTTAAGTGACAAGAAATTGAATGAATCATTTGCAGAATGTTCTTTTGAATGTGTGCGCAATCTTGGAACAGCTTTATCCTGCTGATTAACATGTTTACTGCTTCATTTGGGGGATGAGCACACATAAAATCTACTCTTACTAAGCATTCAGATACAGAATACACCTGCATTAACTACTGTATGGCAGATGTCTTAAACCATTTCTCCTCTCTAGCTGAACACTGCATTCTTTGCCCTCATCTTCCCAACTTTACTCCTGGGCCAGCCCCTGTTAGCCAGTATTCTACTTCTTATCTCCAAAGTTCAGCTGTGTGACCCTCGGTGTGTATTCTTGAAACCATGCGGTGTTTTTCTTTCTGTACCTGACACCTCATTTTGCCCCTTCCCTCCCAAAGTCGCTATTTTTTTCTTACCACTCTTACTAGCACTTCAGTACTATGTTGAATAGAAGGGATGAGAGTGAGTACAGCTGTCTTGTGATAAATCTTGGTGGAAAAGCTTTCATATCCCCATTAGCTGGAATGTGAAACTGTGGTATTTTTGTCAGTGTCCTTGAGTATATTGAGGATCATGGGTTTTTTTTTTAATCCATTTAGTTATTCTATGTCTGTTGGTTGAAGAATGTGGTCATTCTCTTTCCACCACAGTAACAAAATACCTGCTATAGGTTATTTATGAAATAAATAGATGTCTGTATGGCTTAAGAGTTGTGAAGAGTCAGAGCCTGACATTGGCATAGACACACCTCTTGGCTGTATGGTAAAGGTGGCTCTGTGTGTGCAAGTACCTTGAACTGGGAGCAGAATGAAAAGATGGTGCCAAATTCAGCCTAATGAACACCACCAGTGACCCCCATAAGAGCCCTCTGAGGCCGTGTCTCAGGACACTATGGTATCTGTGGTGGAAATGGGGCTTCAGGAGCCCTGACTGTCATGTCCCTACTGAGCTCCGCACTGATTACAACCAAGGTAGAGTGACATTCAGGATGCTTTCTTCTTTCCCAGTCCGTCCAGCCTGAGATTCCCACCACTCCTTTGCTATACACCAGGGTCACCTTCAGAAACCACCCAAAATATAGTTTTTCTCCTTTTTAAGGAAGACACAGGAGACAGTAGTAGGTTTCTCAAGTTGATCCTCTTGCTGATGTCACTCTAGAATCTTCCTTTTCTGATGCTTGCCAAGGGAGAAAAGACAAAGTGATAGCCTAGAAAGTCTGTTCCGTCACTGTTTCTGAAGTGTGTGAACAATGGGGATGGTGCCCAAAGGATAACAATGCGAGCCATCCTACACATATACACAGAGTCCCTAGTCCCTGCAAGCTGTCCCCATGCATGTACAGAATTCCATAGTCCCTGCGAGCTGTCCCCATGCATGTACACACAGTCCCATAGTCTCTGCGAGCTGTCCCCACGCATGCACACAGAGTCCCATAGTCCCTGGAACTGTCCCCACGCATGTACACACAGACCCATAGTCTCTGCGAGGCGTCCCTACATGTGCACAGAGTCCCATAGTCCCTGCTACATCGTAATGTGGATCTCATCTTCTCCTATAGTTGATGAGAAAATTCCTCTCCAAACACTGCTGGAAATGCTGAAAGACTTTACAGGTGAGTGGAAAAGTTATAAAATTGGGGTTTGAGTTAACCACATTTTATAGTCACTGATATTTCTCAATACTCAGTGCTTCAGTATTGCAAAAATTCTGGTATTTTTATATACTTGATAATGATATTTGATTAAAATTCCATGTTTTAAAGTTCCCCTTAGGTTTGGAATGAGATTCTATTTAGTCTGTTGTTTATGATGCTATAATTACTTCAGCGGTGCTTTGTAAACACTGTAGAGAAAGGCATAACAAGTCTGGATGAAGTTTTCAACTAAATTGTGTCATTGTAATTCTTCTTTTAAAAATCAAAATGATTTTTTGGCTAAGCATAGCATCTCATAACTGTAAACCCAGAATTTTGGAGACTGAGGCAAGAAGTTCCTGAATTCACAGGCAGTCTCAGCTATAAAATAACTTTGAGGCCAATGTGGGACACATAAGGAGAATAAAGAAGCAAAGAAATGAATATAAAATTATATTGGAAAAAATTTTATCTAAGTATCTTTTAATGAATTGAGTTGGGCCTGAGAAGATGGCTCAGTAGGTAAAAGTACGTGCTGCCAAGTCTAATGACCTGAGTTTGGGTCCTAGGATCCACGTGGTGAAAGAGAGGACACTGACTCCTACAAGTTCTCCTCTGGCCTCCACCCCTGCACCACACACATGCACATACACTAAAAAATAAATGTAATAAATTTATACAATTTCATTCTGGAAGTTATTGTTCGCCACTGTAAAAGAAGCTTATGTATATCATGAAGATAAATTTAGTTACTGATGCTATAGCTTTAATTTTTTTCTTTTTACTTTAATCTTTGGCCTGAAAACTAGGGTACTTTTAATTATGAAGAGACTCTTCTTGTTAGACGTCAAGCATGGTCTGAACTGTGATGCTCAGCCAATCTTTTTTGACAGGTGAGAGGATTGAGCCTAGTGATGTACACCGTTTCCTGGCAAACCTTTATATCGAGCTCACAGACAAGGAACTGGAAAACCTGTTGAAAACACTGCCCCTCGATGGTGAGTCAGTGGAGTTTCTTGGAAGGTTGAGGTTCTTTTATCTGTAGGCAGACATTTCTCTCCCACCTGCCAGTTCCCAAATAACAGACACAGAGGCTTAATATTATTTGTAAATTCTCAGCCGATAGCTCAGGCTTGTTATTAGCTAACTCATATTTAAATTAGCCTGTATTTCTCATCTGTGCTTTGCCATGTGGCTCATGGCCTATTACCTCATTTTCTATACGTCCTGCTTCCTGGGCGACTGGCTGGCATCCCCTGACTCCGCCCTTTCTCATCCCATCATTCTCAGTTTGGCTTTCCTGCCTAACTTTATCTTGTTCAGCTATTGGCCAATCAGCTTGTTTATTAAATCAATTATAGCCTCTTCCTGTAAGCGGCCAGAGGTGACCCGTGAAGATGGTTCGCTACTCTCTTGACCCGGAAAACCCTACAAAATCATGCAAATCGAGAGGATCTAACCTTCGGGTTCACTTTAAGAACACCCGTGAAACGGCCCAGGCCATCAAGGGTATGCATATCCGAAAAGCCACCAAGTATCTGAAAGATGTCACTTTGAAGAAGCAGTGTGTGCCATTCCGACGGTACAATGGTGGAGTCGGTAGGTGCGCCCAGGCCAAACAGTGGGGCTGGACACAGGGTCGTTGGCCAAAAAAGAGTGCGGAATTTTTGTTGCACATGCTAAAAAATGCAGAGAGCAATGCTGAACTGAAGGGTTTAGATGTAGACTCTCTGGTCATTGAGCACATCCAGGTGAACAAAGCCCCTAAGATGCGCCGAAGAACTTACAGAGCTCATGGCCGGATTAACCCATACATGAGCTCTCCCTGCCACATTGAGATGATCCTCACTGAAAAGGAACAGATTGTTCCAAAGCCAGAAGAGGAGGTTGCACAGAAGAAAAAGATATCCCAGAAGAAACTGAAGAAACAAAAACTTCTGGCACGGGAATAAATTCAACATGAAATAAATGCAGATAAAAGTAAAAAAAAATCAATTATAACGACATATATTCACACTGTGTACAGAGGATCATCCCACAGCATTTTTAGCATTGCATTTTTAATTGTTTCAAGTAATTAAAGGATAATTTTTAAAACTAAGATTGATGATGAATAAGAAAATTATCATCATCAGAGTTTGTTTTAGAAATGAAGCAGCCCTTGATAAATGTTTTATGGTCCTTCCCCCACACCAGTAATAAGTTCCCATCATATAAAAAGAGGCTAAGAGGAAATGGAAGAAACAAAAAATAAAATCAGAATTTAAAAGAAAGGAAAGCTACATATGTGTTGATATAATAGGCTCTTTAGAGGAAAACACTTAGCACATTGGGAAAGATCAGTTCATTGTTAAAGATGAAAAATTCGGGCAAAATATTGTTTGAAAACTCTATTGATTATTTAATAACTCATATGCTATATAATTAACACAATGAACGTGTATGTTGGAGCTGGAGAGATGGCTCAGTGGTTTAAAACACTGGTTGCTCTTTCAGAGGAGCTGGGTTGAGTTTCCAGCACCCACATGGCGGTTTACAACTCTGTAACTTCAGTTTCAAAGAACCTAACACCCTCTTCTAACCTCTTGGGACACAGGTCATGTATATGGTGAACAGACATACAGACAGGCAAAACACCCACCACATAAAATAAAAATAAATTGTGTTTCATACAGTCACAGACTTGTGTCCTCCTCACCATTGTCCATTTTAGAATATTTTTGTTATCCCCAAACAGAAACAGCACACCATTGCCGGTCATTCCTTTCCCCCAGTTCTTCTGTACAACTTGGACAGCCACTAACCCATCTTCATCAGTTTGCCTATTCCTAACAATTCATAGAAATGGAATTATCTAATAAGTGATTTTCTGTGAATATACACCTATGTCCTATAATGTACCAGTTCTTCACTTCTTTTGTTACTGAGTAATCTTACATATTAGAAATATTACATTTTATTTATTATTTGTTTCTGGGTAAATTATGTTTTAGCTTTTCTAGGGTGTATCTAGAAGCAAAATTGCTGGGTCATACAGTAACTTTTTATCTGTTGGCTAAAGAAAACCAGGGTAAGGGCTGAAGAAATGAACAGTAGTTAACACTTCTCTTTGAGAAGACCAGAGTTCAGTTCCCAGCACGCACATCCTGTGGTTCAAAACCACACAAAACTCCATCTCCAGGGGATCTGATTTACACACACACACACACACACACACACACACACACACACACACACAGACACCAAATAAATAATAAAACAAATCTTTTTATCTAGACTATCTTTCAAGGGCGCTGTGAGCTTTACACTCCACTAGCAGAGTATGAGGGCTCTAATTTTCCCACAACTCCTGTTACTACCCGTCTTTTGGTGTTGATGGAGGTTTCTGTCCCACCAGGTCCCGCAGTCGTTAAGTCCCAAAGAAATACACAGAGGTCTACATTAATCATAAACTGATTGTCATATTAGCTCAGGCTTCTTATTAATTAATTCTTACATCTTACATTAACACATTATTCTTGTCTGTGTTAGCCACATGGCTTAGTACCTTTATCGGCAAGGCAGTCACATCTTGCGACCTCTGTGTCTGGATGACGCCTGCAGACTGAATCTTTCCTCTTCCCAGAACTCTCCTGTTCTCATTGTCCTGCCTATACTTCCTGCCTGACTACTGACCAATCAGCATTTTATTAAACAAGTACAAGAAACAAATCTTTACAGGGTAAAACCATTGTCCCACAGTACTTTAGTGAGTGAAGTGGTACCTCAGCCTGTTTTTTCCTTATGTTTCCCAAATAGTACAGATGGTGAGCATCTTTTCATGTCCACATTGGCCATTTGTGTATCATCTTTAGAGAAATGTCTGCTCTTCACCTGTGTCCAGTTTTTTTGTTTGTTTTTGTTTTGTTTGTCGAGACAAGGTTTCCCCGGGTAGCCCTGACTGTCCTAAACTTGCTTTGTAGACCATGCTGGCCTTGAACTCACAGAAATCCTCCTACCTCTGCCTCTTAAATGCTGGGATTAAGGTGTGGGCAACCATACCCAGCCCTTTGTCTGTATAGCCTTTCTCAGTGAGGAAATTCTTTGTACATTGTAGAAAAGACTCTTACCTTATATCGCTTGTGGAAAGTTTTCTCTGTTTCTGAGGATTGTCTTTATTGATGGTGTCCTCTGATACACAAAAGGTCTTTATTTGATGATACCCAGTTAATTCATTCTTCTGTTGTTTTTGGTGTTGATTCTAAAAAAAATATCATTGCCTAATCTAAAGATAGTGATGCTTATACCTAAATTTCCCCTAGGAGATTCAGTCTCTGATATTTAGGTGTTTGGTCCATGTGGGACGTATTTTGTGTCGGGGGTTAAGATTAGATGCCTAAGCAACGATCTTCTCTTATACGTGAATATCCAGTTTTTCCAGCACCATTTGTTAAAAGCATTGTCTTTCTCCCTTGGAATGATGTTGGCATCCTTATCGAGAGTGAACTGATTGTAACCATAAAGGATTGCTCTGCAGCTTTCTTCTATGGCGTCTATGATTCCTGTTACCCCAGAACCCCACCACATTGGTTACTCTGCTTTGTAGTAAGCCCTTAGGTTTAAAGTGTGGGTCTTCCTCCTTTGTCCTTCACTGCCAAATGAATCTTAGTATTAGCCTCTCCATTTACACAAACAAGCGAGTTTTGTTTTGATAGATCGTATGGGATCTGCAGATCAGTCTGAGGGAGAAGATCGTGTTCACAATGTTAAGTTTCGCGATGAGCTGTGAACACAAAGTTTGACTGAGTCTTTGAAAATTCCCTTCTATCATACTTTTTATTTTAGAGTAGACGTTTCCCCGTTCTGCTAAATTTATCCTAAAGCATTTTATTATAACCGGAATCACTTCTATTTGTGTTTATTAATTATATACAAAATGTAATTGGTGTTTATAAACAAGTTAGAAGTTTGTAACATTTGTAAATAAAAACAAAAAAATAAGTTTTTATTGTCAAAGTCATACTATTTTGCTAATCTCAAATTTACCCTAAAATGGTTTATGGCTTTTCTGACAGATACTGGGAAGTTTCATAGTAACAGGCTGCTGAAGGGTGTGAAGGATCTCAAAGGTAAGGGGCCACAGAGCAAGGCATAGCATCTGGATTCTCCAGGCTTTATGCTGCCCAGTTATGGACTGAGGCCATAGAGCGCACAGCTGTGGTTCACCGAGCATACATTTCATCTGCTGCCGCAATGTCCTTTTTGTAAGATGAAGTCTATTATGCTTTTACCTTTGTTCCACTTTTTCTCTAAAGGAAGAGTGAAACAAAGAGCTGTCCATTATTGAAGTGCACCATGGAGTCACAGAGGTCGTAATCTAGAAACACAAACACGTCCTGCTGTCTGTGCTATGAAATGAAGCTGGCATCTTCAGTTTGCTTAGCTCAACCTTCTAACACTGTTCAAACATGTCAGTTTATCAGTAAGAAAAATTTAAAACTTCCTGTTCTGATAAGGCATTTGAAAGGACAGATTTATTTGAGACTTCAGTCTTACTGAAACTAATATTGCAAAACCATAAAGTATTAGAATTTTTAAATTTCTTATTTTGTTTTAAAAATAGTTATTTAGGTTTAAAGCCGATAAATGATATCTTTCTTATTTTGCTCTCATGTGACTTTTTTCAAATGTTGCTTTACTGCCTCTTTTCGAAGGGGGTAAGATCAAAAAGGATGGTCTCCACAGTTCTTTGGAAAATATGGGAATAAAACTCTCAATGGAGGAATTTGCTGAAGTGACAAAAAACCTAGAAACTGATGGTGAGCAATAAGGCAGATTTAAATTATTTGTTGACTTTATCTCCTATATGATGAAATCTTTAAAATTGTGTCAATATTAAATAGATATTTTAAAACTTAAAGGAGATCCCAATGTTAAGATAAGAATACTCAGTTAAAAATTTATTAAAAAATTAATACATTTCTGCGTGAATTGTAAAAATTGCTGGGAATGGAGAGATGGCTCAGCAGTTGAAAGCATTGGCTGCTCTTCCAGAGGTCCTGAGTTCAATTCCCAGCACCTACATGGTGGGTCACAACCATATGTAATGAGATCTGATACCCTCTTCTGGTGTGCAGGCAAACATGCAGGCAAAACACTGTGTATAAACATAATAATTAATAATTAGTTAATTAATTAATCAATTCTTGGAACTAGCAGAATTACTAAAGCATTAGTGAGGGCTGGACATAGAGTGCAGTGGTCAGTGCTTGTCTAGCACACATGAGGCCCTACATTCAATCCTCAGTACAAGGAAGAAGGGGAGAGGGAAAAGGAGAGGAAGGCAAGAGGAGGAAAAGAGAGGAAGGAGAAAAGGAGATAGGAAGATGGAAGGGGAAGAGAAATGAGGGGGCAAAGAAGGGAGGGGAGGGATAAAAGAAGACAGGCAGAGAGAAAAGAGAGGAGGAAAAAGTAAAGAGGAGCAAATAGAGAGAGAGGGAGACGTGTGTTTCTAGGCGAGTGCTAAAGCAAGCCAGGACAGAATGCACAGCAGATACTCAGAACCGTGCAGCCTCGTCTTATTTGTTCCCCTGCCCATTGCTGTCTGCAGTCTGTCCTTCCTCCTTTTGGTCAGTACACCACATAAGCTAGGCGGTGATCTAACTGTAAAGTCCTGTGCACTGCTCTGCTCTCTCCTAAGGGATTCTTTCTTAAAGTGCCCCCTCTGTTGTCTGCCCCACTTTCCCTTCAGGATGGTCTACTCCAACCTCATCCAGTCCTGTCTTGCTTTCTCTCTGCTTGGACATTTCTGTCTTTCAACAATTGAAAGCTTAGATTCTCATGGTTGCTTCATCAGGGCAATATTGCTTGCTTTTGTTTTGTTTTATTATGTTTTTGGTTTTTTTTTTTTGAGACAGGATTTCTCTGTGTAGCCCTGGGCCCTGGTTGTTCTGGAACTCAATGTAGACCAGGCTGGCCTCAAACTCAGAGATCCACCTGCCTTTGCATTCCAAGTGCTGGGATTAAAGGTGTGCACCACCACTGCTCGGCTACTGTTTGCTTTTCTAAATGACAATATGCTCATTAGAAATATTTCCCTACATGCATATAATAGACTCTGATATATTCACCTTTCCATTACCCCCTCTTCACGTATGAATGTGTCGGCGTCTAGTTTATTTTACTTAGTGTGACTATCCTAGTTCCACCCACTTTCCTGAAAATGATGTGCCTTTGCTCTTTTGTGTGAATTAAAAACTTCATGGTGCATGTAAAACCACCTTTCTTCAACCACTCATTAATTAATGGGTACCCAGGCCCATAAAATTTCAAGGATGATTTTTATTTGTGTTGCTCTAATGGCTAAGGTTGCTGAACGCTTTTGCATGGCTCAGCTTAGAGTTTGTGCTCCTCTGGAGAACTGTCGCTTCAGCTCGTGTCCAGCTGTTAGTCATTTATTTGTTCTTGTGTTGTTTGCTTTTTTTAATCCTTTAGGCTGCATCTCAGGATGCAGATAAACAACCAACAGCGATCTGCTTCATTCCGGAGACTCTATCTTGTTTCTGGCCCTTGTTTCCTCCAGGGTGCAGAAACTTTTCAACCCAACAAAATCAAACCTGTTGAGTCTTGCTATTGCTCCCATGGCTGTGGAGTCCAGCTGAGAAAGTTATGCCCTGTGACTATATCTTGAAGTGTTTCCCCCAGTAGTCTCAAATATTTAGATGCCATATTAGTTTTTGATCCATTTTGAGTTGATTTTCTTATAGGGAGAGAAATAGGGATCCTCTTTGTCTTCTCTGGGTGGCTGTCAAAGAAGCTGTCATTTCTCCAGAGTGTGTTTTTTTAATACATTTATCAAATTCGGGTGGCTGTGACTGTGTGAGTTTGTTTGTGGGCCCTCTCTCTGTTCCATTGGTCTATGCATCTGTTTCCTACTGATAACTAGCTTAACTAGCTATTTTGTTGCTATGGATCTGTATTATAAATTAAAATCAGATATTCTGGTAACTCTAGCATTGCTTTTATTTATTTATTTATTTTTTGCTCAGGATTACTTTGGCTATTTGGGGGTCTTTTGTGTGTCCATATGGATTTTAGAATTATCACTCTATTTCTGTGAATAATACCATTGGAATTTTGATAGTGATTACATTGAACATGTAGGTTGCTTTCAATAATGTAGTATTTTTCATAATCTTTGTTTCGCTCCTCCATAAACATAGACTGTCTGTCTTCAAGTGTCTTCAGCTCATTCTTCATTGTCATATGATTTTCTTTTTTAAAAAAAAAAATTTATGGTTTATTTAACTTTTTTTTTATTTTATGTGCATTGGTGTGAAGTTGTCAGATCCCCTGTATTTTCAGACAGTTGTGAGCTGCCATGTGGGTGCTGGGAATTGAACCTGGGTCCTCGGGAAGAACTGTCAGTGCTCTTAACCACTGAGCCATCTCTCCAGCCCCCGTCACATGATTTTCATTGTAAAGATCCTTCACCTCATTGGTTAAATTTCTCTGCATTGGGGGGAGACAGTAGATAGCAATACTGAATAGGATTGCTTTCCTGGTTTCTTCTCAGAAATGTTCATTGTTAACTTATAAGGAAAGTGCTTGTTTTTATGTGATGGGTTTGTACGATGGTTCTCAGATCTAAGCGACTTCTGGTGGTGCTTTAGGGTCTAATTTAAGAACTCATTCTTAACATCTGCCTGACCGCACAGTGAAGTGTTTTCCTTTTCCTATTTCCTTTATGTCTTTCTGTAGTCTTATTGCTGTCCCTACCCAGGACAGGTTGACAACTGGTGTTTCTGTCCTTCCTTATTATTTAAGTGGAAATGTCCCCAGGGCTCAAACAGCTCTGAACTGGAGCTGGGCAGTTCCTCTCAGCAGGCCAGGGACTCATAGTGGCAGAGCGTTGTGCATGAGGCCCTGGGGATCTCGAAGACTTCAAATAATCTCCTAACTTATGTATTAATTAAGTAATTAAAATGAAATAAGGTATTTTTAAAACTAAGGGCACACCTGCTATGGCACATGTTTGGGGTCAGAAAATGGCTTCCAGGAAGTCAGTCCTCTGTTTCTGGCATCTGGGTCCTGGAGGTAGAACTTAGATCATCAGATGCCTTGGTGGTGAGAGCCTTTACCCGCGGAACCACCTTGCCAGCCCCTGGTTACCAGCCTCTGGTTACAGAGGTTTAAAGAGAATGAACAAACTCCCAACAGATATTCTTAATATGGCATGAATTCCTAAAACTCCAAAAAACTTAAGAAGTGTCCAAATCACAGTGGGAGCTGGATTTAACAGGACTTCACTTTGTACACGTGATCGGTATTTGCTTTCTGAGCTCACGCCGTTGACTGTGTGTTTCTGTTGCACGTTTCCAGCAAAGGGGAATGCTGATCTGCAGAAAGTGATGGAGAGAGTAAAAGCTGTCATGGGTGAGCGCAAAGTCCCGCCGCGAAGGCTTCTTATTGGTTCTGCTATTGTGCTTTGCCACTGGCCGTAATTGCTGTGGGAATTCTGTTACTTTACTCTGTTTAGAAGCATCTGACTAAATTGGACTTTAAAATTAGACTCTTGTTAGTAAAATTTTACTGTTACATCTTGGTAGAGATATACTTATTTTCTGAAATAATTTTGTCAGATCTTTTCTCTTGGTTAATACAATAAAGGTTAATAGAAATATTTAAAATCCACATAATCGAAGCTGAATATAGTAGCACATTCATGTAATCTCAGCACTTGAGAAGACAGAAGCAGGAAGATTGTAAGTTTGATACCAACCTGGACTACACGGCAAGACTCTATCTCAAAATAAGACTCCCATCCCCTCAGAATTTCTGGTTTGTGAAGGTGGATGGTTCCTCCTAAGTAAAGAATAGATATTTTGTTCCTTTCCCATAGACCATGCAGAAGCCTCATTTGGGGCAGACGGCCTTGAAAGACTCTACTTTCCTTTCTGGTTACTAGACACTGTCAGCTTCAAGCAACTAGGAAAGTGCTAATTCTACTAGGGAAATCAGTATTCCTGGAGGATCTACAAGACCTGGCTAGTGTGTGCTGATGTGAACTGGAACATGGATAGGACAGGCTCTTGAGAGTGCTGTATGGAGCAAAGTGGTGTGTGGCATGAGAGGAAGTTTACTGATACTTGGACGGGCTCCTGTAACTCAGACTTGAATGCATGTCAAATGTACTGCTAATATGGCTCCCAGAAGCTGGGAGAACAGTGTTCCATATTAAATTATTTAGAAATTCCAGAAATACTTTTGAGGTATGTGGAGGCAGAACAAAAATGTTTAAAAAAATAGTGTAGAGTCTGTTACAGAAGACAGAAAGAGACATGATGGAGTCACTATGTTTTGTTGACCAAGACAACACGAACAGTGCCTGCTTCTGGTCTCTGGATCCCACTTCCTCTCAGAACCGTGACTTTGACGAGGGAACTCAGCTTCAGCTGTCTCTATAGTTCTCTTGATCCCGGCTTCAGCAGGCTTTCCTTAACGAACAGGAAATGTAGACCCTTTTAAAGGTTGCCATGAGGACTTTGAGCTTTACTACACAACTTGCTACGTCAGCCAGCCAACATTTGCAGTTACACTTTCTTTAAAGCTCTTAAAGATACAAATGTGTGTAAGCAAAGGAGTCTTGATTGCACGAGGGCTCTTGTTAGGCATATCGAAATCTAGGCTGCAGGTTAAGTTTTACAAGCAAAACCACATTCAGACTGGCTTGCTCAAAGTGACAACTAGGAGATCTATACAGAACACAGGGACTACGGACTCATAAATGGCTGACCTTTATTCACATGACTCCTATGGGTTGGTCAGGAGCCATGGGATGAAAGCCATCAATCGTTACTTAATAAAAAGAAGAAAGAAAGGGAGAAATTGGAATGGGAAAAGAAAGTAGTGACTATTTCATGTTGATGGCATACCAACTTGTACATAGATTATTTTCCAATTTAATCTAAAATTTTCTTCTAATTTGAGTGTAAGTTGAGCAAATGTTTAAATCAAATTATTAAAAGATTGTTCTTTTTTGCTACACTACTAGATCATTATACCATTTTTGTGACCCACAATTAAAGCAGTTCTTAAGAGTTTCCAGACAGTCCAATAGGAAGTTGGATTTGTTAATGGTTAGTTATATCATTATTCATGAGTTCTGTGGTATATTGTTCTGTTATAAAAAGCAAAATGTGGAATAATCGTTGTAGATTAATACATGACATATAATAGCAGAATAAAATAAATATGAAATATTTGACAAGTGGCATAAAGTAGAAGTATCTCAGATCCCAACATTATAGACCACATGTAATAATCCTTATATATTTTATTCAGTGAATTATTATTTTTATGTGAAAAACTAAATAGTGATTCAGAGCATATTTTTCAATGTGAGACAGATGTTTTCAAAATGGATTTTATGAGCATTTGTGAACCTATTGTTGGGCTTCACTCTGTCCTCGAAGATCCTAATGCCGTTTATAAACACATGAAGTTGGTGAAGGTGTAAGATCAGATCCATAGCTTCCCTCATTTTCAAAGGGAGTGCATCTCAAAGAAACAAATCCCTTTGAAAGTCACTATTTTCAAGTCAATGATTTTCTCCCATGGTTCTGTCTTTTTCTGAGTAGAAAATGTCAGTATAAAAAATCTGGAAGGTGCTCTAAGCAACGTGGGCATCAAGCTGACCAACAAAGAAATTGAAGACCTGACAAAAAGCCTTCCTGTTGGTGGTAAGTATGATCGATGCCATTGGCTTTTTAATGACTCTGGTTTTGGAGACATAACCTTGTATCTATTGAACTTTCTGTTTCTTAGTTAGGTTCCTACTGCTGTGAAAAAAAAAATCCCTATGACCAAGAGAGACTTGAGTGGCAAAGGGTTTATTTCCTCTTATAGTTATGGTCCATTACAAAGGGAAGTCAGGGCAGAAACTCAACAAAGGAACCATGGGAGCAACCGTCATGGAGAAACAGTGCTCCCTGACTTGTTTCTCATAGCCTGCTCCACCTGCATCCAGGATGATGCATCCAGCATGATTTGGCCAGGGGTGACACCATCCCCAGTAGGCTGGGCCCTCCCACATCAATCATTAAAAAGAAAACACCCTAAAGACTCAGCTACAAGCTGTCTAATGGAGACACTTTCTCAGTTGAGGTTCCTCTGCCCAGAGACTCTAGCTTGTTTCAAGTAAAGAAAAGCTAACTGGGATGCTGTGCAATCCAGACTGCCTAAGAACTCTTGATCCTCCTGCCCCCACCTCCTGAGTGCAGGGATTACAGCCATGTGCCACCATGTCCAGGTCCACTGGCTTAGGAGCTTTTCGGTTTTATAGACATTTAGCTTCAGAACAAATAAATGAGCTTTTTCTAGGGAGAAATAGTCATGCTGAGTCCGACAGTGCCATAAGAAGGTGGATCCTGGGCACCTGCAGCATGCTCAGGAAAGCTGGCCTCTGGGAAATAGTCACTTTTGAGTCCTGTCTTTTCATTGTCAGATGTGAGACTTGCTCTTTCGTGCGGGGAAAGACAAATACATATTTTTGAAACAAGATTATTTTCTATTTAAATTTTCCTGTGTTTCATAGTTTTATATATTAAGAGTAATTATTTGGGTGATGACTTAAAGTGCTTAACAAGAGCCCCGCTGTCACCCATAGGGCCAAGACTTTAGGTCATTATCTTAGGAGAATGGAGAGTGTTCATTGGTTATTTTGTATCATGTTATGTTTTCTGTTGTAGCTGATAATAAAGTACATCTGAAAACTTTACAAGATGAAGCAAAAGCTTTTACTGGTAAGAACTGGTCATAAGTTATTTTTAAATTATGATTTATGCTTAATCTTATAATAGTATTTTCTGAAATGTAGTATACCTTATAGAGTCATATATTTTCAGTATTCCTCTTGAGAAGATATTTGCATCACTGATCCACAAATTTATTTGTTTGTTTGTTTGTTATTTTATAAGTAAACAGCAAAGTCTGTTTTTTAATAATGTCTTACTTTTTTGCTACTTTTTTCCAATAAAATGGTGTCATTATTTACCAACATCAGAACTAGATAGTTACAATAAGAGAATAAAACATTTAAAAATATATAACTAATATCTTGCAAAACAGCATAAACTTTTGACAAAATAGAGGAAATATATAATGTTTTAATTATATTTTTATTATGCTATTGTTCCTAAATATCCAAACAATTATATAACCTTTCTGTGCTACCTGGTACTGTTTTCATCACTAGGAATGTGCAATGGGATCTACATAATGTAGTGACTTGTAACAGATAAATTCTGTTTTAAACTTACAGCGAATAATTTCTGTCGGGAGGTTTAACATCTCTTTCCCATTTGTTCATGCGTCAGAAGCAGCAGTGGTAGAAGTGTATTTGTAGGTGATTCACAATAATTTGGTTATTCCCTAATATCATATGAACGTTCATCTTTTTAAGGTGAAAAAATTGACTCTAGTGACCTCCAAAGTACACTGAAGACTCTGGGGATTGAGCTTTCCAACAAGGACTTGAAGCAACTCCTGAAAACGCTGCCCGTCGATGGTGAGTCACACCCATGTGTCATGCCAGTGGCAGATCCCTCCCAGGGAATTTGGCTTAGTGGGCTTTTGAGTATTCAGTCTTTACAAAAATTCCAGAAGTTAATGCAAAGGCACGTTTGACTTGAAAGTAAATTGTCAGTACTCCTCGGACACCAGCTGAGAATGTTCAGCACATTGTCGTTTGAGGACTGGAACAACTGCAGAATAAAAAAAATATGCTTTCTATATCTTACTGTGTTGCATTATATCATAGAATAATTTAACTAATAAATGACTATAAAGTCCAAGAGTGGATAAATTTTATGAAAATGAAAAATAATTGCATTTAAATGTTGATGCTGTGTGACTTTGAAAGACCAGTTTTGATGACATCTCACTAAAATGCATCCTGCTGCAATCATGTAATTTGTACTGTTTGGTGACTCTCCGTGTCAGTGTTGGAGAGATCTGAATGCTGCCTCTTTTTACAGATAATGAGAAGGTGTTTCAAAACAGACTGCTGAAAGACTTGAGGAACAGCAGACGTGAGTAACTACGAGAAGGCGTTTGACCACCCTCTGCTGTTGAATTTGCATTAGTTCAGTACAGAGATTTGTGTTGCCTCTTGAAGAATATTTGTTTTTTTTCTGGTAATCATCTGTATTGTATAAGGACCTTTCTGCTGTCTTGTATTTTACAAACTTTCCCGAAGAAGAATGATATAATATATATATATATATATATATATATATATATATATATATATAGAGAGAGAGAGAGAGAGAGAGAGAGAGAGAGAGAGAGAGAGAGAGA